TCATTTTCTAAAAAGAAATGGATACACAAAAAAGGCCAAAGAGAAAGAGAGAGAGAGAGAGAAAGAGAAGCGTTAGGGAGAGCAGGAGGGCAGGAGGCATCAAGGCAAAACATCACTTTGTTGTCAGGTATCATCCAGTAACTCATGCAACAGTGGGGCTGGACACTGAAAAACCATGGGATGTACCCAGTGCATTTACTGACACAGCCTTTCTGGTACATTAATAATCCACTCCTGTAAATTTTAAGGAATTAATCTGAAAGCAACTCCCTTCACCTAAAGGAAGAGTCACCACTAAGCACTTTTTGCCCGTTTTGGAAACAGGAATAATTTCAGTGTAGCAAGTGGGGACTTGTGCACATCCAAAATTCCAATGTGCAACAAAACCCACTCACTACCCCAAAACCATCATCCAGTTCTGCTTTTAACTCACTGAAATACTTTCTACCGTGCCTGAAGTTGCACACGGAGCGAAAAGAACAAGCCCAGAACTCCTGAGCCCGACAATCCACAGAACCTGGGAATGCTCACCCCTCCAAACACCCTCCTGGCTGCTGTAATTCCAGGATCACTGACACAGACCTGTCATTGTGGCACTGGGAAAACTCTTCTAAGAGTATCTACAAGTTAGGAAAGGCTGAGAGAATCAGATTCCTGCTCCTGTTCAGCTCCTTAGCAAGGTCTCACCCAGGTCTTCTGGCACCTCTGGGAGCCCTCGAGCCAGAAGGGAACAACAGTGACAGTTAAAACAGGAACAAGACAATAACCCTGTGCTGGAAATTGAGTTTCACTCCTTATTGACATCATAGAAATTTGCCTCCAAGGAAAGGCAGAATAAGCAGGCCCTACAATTTACAGGTATTCAAGCTGTCACATCATCCAGAATCAGGGAACAAGAGGGAAAACCCCAAGGGACGCTGCTCCATCAATGCCATGACTATCTCTTTTCAGTAATTAACCTCATGGTTGATTTCTGGCTACTTTGTACAGAAACAGCCACAAAAACCAGGGATTAAATTCTCACAGAAACATGGCAAGTCCATTTTGCCAACTGTAATTCCAATTTTGGTGGTGGTGTTAAGACGAACAGAAACTGTTGCCTCACTTTCTAATAAGAAAATTCCCTGGGCAACCCAAAAACTGTTAATTTGTGCTTAAATTGCGAGGTCTGAAGCCCGTGGGATATTTGGTATGATGCATTTTTTACACACCAGAGGTTCTCACCCTGACTGACCTCATCTAATGGCACAGCTCGATGGTAGGGTAAGACCAGGAGCTGCTTTATGCAGGAACAAATAGATGCTTTTTTTAGAGGCATTTCAAGAAATGACTCTTCCCTAATTCCTCATGGGTATTTTTCAATCCTCTGCTCCTTTATGTTGCAGATGGATGAGCTGTAAGGATTTCCATCCATTAGGATTTCCAGTCTCTTGGGCTTCTCTTTAAGTTCTTGGGATACTGCTGAGCAAAATGCACTTAACAGGAGTGAAGGGACAAGGAGCAGCACCAAGATGGTTGGGTCAGACTGTGCTCACAGGGAGCTGTTATTTCTGATCAAAATCCAGTTCCACAAATCCTCCCCCAAAGGAATATTTGAGGGGAGACCTCATGGCTGTTTGCAGCTCCTCCAGAGGGGCAGCTCCAACCTCTGCTCTGGGTGAGCAGGGACAGCACCCTGGGAATGGCTGGAGCTGTGTCAGGGCAGGGTTAGGACAGATTTTAGGAAAAGGTTCTTCCCCCACAGGCTGGTTGGGCACTGAACAGGCTCCCCAGGGCAGTGGGCACAGCCCCAAGGCTGCCAGAGCTTCAGGAGGGTTTGGACAACGCTCTCAGGGACAGGGTGGGATTGTTGGGGTGTCTGTGCAGGGCCAGGAGTTGGACTGGATGATCCTTGTGGGTCCCTTCCAGCTCAGGATATTCCCTGATTCTACATCCACCCTCATTTGCCCAACACAAGATACTCCACTGCAATATTCCACAAAACAGAACAGAAATGGGGTTATCAGCGTCGAACACCCATGCCTTAATCTTGGTTTAAAACCTGAATTTATACACTGCCAATATTGTGATTTTCCCTTAATTATATATGCTAAACCTTGCAAATTACTCATGGGATCTTGAGAAGACACAGCACATCTTCTGGGGTTTAATGGAACACGCCTTAGGAGTGAGATTTCCTTACAAAACAGCTGGGGCACTGCTCAACCAAGAGCAAGAAGAACAGATAAAACAAAGCAGATTAACCAGCTACACAAACATTGAGCCATTTAAGAGACAAAAACCTGTATACAGTCAAAACATCTTCCCAAATCCCTTTCACAGACAGAGAAAATAATTTGCATTTTGGAAGTATCTTGCATGACAGAGGCATAAAGGAAGGGGAGCTGGAATGGAGCCTGTGCCAAGCACATATACACTGGTACCAGTAGAGCCAAGTGCAGCAGCAAACATGCAAGCTGGAAAGACAGAATGAAATCCTGATAAGATCAACTGATCAGAAGCATTTTTTGCCTTGCCTTCCTATTCCACTGGTAAGAAGAGAGAGCAATGGAAAGGGGTTTGTTTCTAGATAAAATTATCTCTGTAAAACTCCCCCCCACCCCGGAAATTCAACATGTTACAAATTCTTATCGAGATCTTATCAAGATTTATTTTCAATTGCAAGTGCAAAAAGCATCCCTACGTTTAGGGCTCAGATTTGCAGAGTTCCAAGCTCTCCTTGAGACCCAGGAAACCTGAGAGGTGCCTGGGCTGCCAACTACTCATTTCCACGGACACAACCCCAGAGCAGCAAGGCCTAAATCAAGCACAAAAGCAGCCAAAGACAGTGTAAATTAAATCAAGGACAGGATGCAATGCCCCAGAAGAAACAAACTGCCCCAGACACGAATGCAGCTAAAGCACCACCCTCTAAATACAGACCTCTGTGCACCTGAGGGCTCAGCTGAAGCGTTGCAGTGTAAAGTGCCACACAATAATTCAGACTGGGGATAAATTAATAACAGGCTTAATTACATGGTTGATATCAGTGGACAAAAAGGATTTTTTTTTTTTTAAAGTGTTTTTGTATAACTTTGCCTGTGTTTTTTCAAGAACCTGCTGTTTTGGATCAGGATCTATTTGTATGAACCAACCGCCCTGAGCTGTCGGAGTGGGTGTTGTTTTCATGCTGCTGCCTCTCTCTGTAGAATATTCCATTATTCTCATCCCAAACCCTACTCTTATCCTGCAGGGGACTTAAGGAGTGCTAATGTGGCGTCAAGTGCCAGTTACTAAAGATATTTTATAAAAATTCATGAACCCATGAAGTTACAGAGCTCACTAACTCCCTACAACCACTGCACGGAGCACTAGAAATTCCAGCTGGTCAATAATTTCCCAATCCCCCTCTTTTCCAGCATGGCAATGGAATTGTGAAGGCTGTTATTAGGTTATCCCCAAACATGGATCCACAGAAGCTCACAGGCTCAGAGTGACCACCTAGGGATGCACAAGGAGATGATGTTGCTTTGGCAGCAAACCACACTCACCAGAGAACGCTCCCAGATCAACTGATGCTCAATCTCACAGCTGGCAAAGCACTTGGGTAAAAAGTATTATAAAGCAGAAAACAAGAGAGCCTTATTTTACAGTACCTGCCATTGCCTTACAGAACTGCTTTGCCTTAAAGATAGAAGATAAAAAAGGTTTAGAAGCTGTTCAACACACCCTGGCATTGAAAAGGACGGACGTCACCTATGGATTTGTGAGTTTGGATGGATTTTTTTTTTTAATTGCCATTGATCTGATCACATCCTGGCCAGCCTAGTCAGACAACAGAAGGATAAAAGAGATTTTTGGCCAGAATTAAAAGCAATGCTAGAAAATACACAATGTGCTAGAAGCTTCAAAATTCAAGGACTGAGCAAGAATTCAGGATATTACACAACACACAGCAACCACTGCATCGAGGGCTTGGCAACAAGAAACAACATCAAGATAGCACTTAAATTATCAAAATAAGTTGTTGGGTAGCATGATTCCTTGTTGGCCAATATGATTCCTCTGCCCACCCATCCCAGGTCCCCTTCCCAACCCTTTTGTGGGGGATGAGCAGCCTCTCATTCCGAATTCCCTCTGCAGAGAACAAACCAGTGGCACTGCAAGAGCTGCCTGTGGCAAAGTGGGGATAACACATCAGAGTTTATAACTGACACCAATTTCGTGCTGCTGCTTTTTGCTTCCCTCATTTCATGAGTGAAGTTAAAGCTCTGCTCTGGTGCCAGGCTCGTCCCAGAGGCAGCAGCAGCAGCACGAGCAGCCAGATCTGCCTTCCTGGGATCCCTCGTGACAGCAGAGGATGAGCCGAGTGGTTTATCCACAAGAAATGATCTCACCAAGGAAAAGCTGGCGGTTAAGATTAAAAATTACTCTTGATACAGTCTCTGAACACAACCTCAGCTTCAATCAGCCAAAACCCAACCAGAGGCTCGTGTCGTATCACGGAGCAGACAAACGGTGCTTCGTTAGGAACGTGGTTTCTTCACTTACAAAACCCAAAAGGAGCATTTTTGTCCTCAGAGAGAGGCTCTTGCAGCTGAGCTGTGCAGGACCTGCATCACTTCTGCCCTCAGAACAACTTTCTGCAATTGCTTTTTCCTACCATTCAGTCTCTGGAGCGAAGAGGGAGAAGGTGTTAGTGTGACATTAAGCATTTGGTAGAGGGCTGAACATCCTGACCTCCCTGCAAACAAAGCCTGACTTAAACCAAGCTGGATTTAATCCTCAGTCAAGTTATTCTGGTCAGTTTAAAAGCTCAGAGCTGTGTCTGCCCTCTCCCCAAGAGCACCAAACCCACACTCAAAGAGTGTTCAGCTGACCCAATACTCTGAAAGCCACCAAGGTCTGATGGCTTCTGGTTTGAGAAAGGAATACAGAGGGTTAGTCCAAGCAATTCATTAACACAGGTTGTTAACACAGCTTTTTTTTTTTTTTGTTAATAAGCAGTGGAAAGGAGGAGGTGATTTGCAATAACATTTATTAATGATAAATGTACATATTTACAAAGAGAAATCTGAGAAAAAATACAAAACCGAAAAAGTGTTCCAAAAGAGAGCATTTTAGGTAAAAAAGAAAGTGTTTTTAGTCCCCACAAACTGATCCAACACCACCATGTACCACTGATAGCAGAGCTCAAACCAAGGCCAGTCCTTCCCTCCAGCCTCACAAACCACGACAGATGCAAACAGGGACACAAGAGGAACCACCACTGACAGGTTCTCCAGTGTCACCCACTACTAAGTACAGACCAGAGAGTTCCTGCATGAATCCATAATCCTTTTTTGGGGTTGAATTTGCCCAGAAAGCTTCCTCCCCCATTCTGTAGTTCAGAACAGCCACCATCAACTCACGACCAGACAAAAGAAAACCAATAAACCAGTGGAATAATTCTCAAAGTGACAAATTACTGACAGTGACGTGAAGTGAAAGACACTGTGCCCACAACCATCAGGAGCTGGACTCTATGTTCCTTATGGGTCCCTTCCAACTCAGGATTTTCCATGATTTTCTGATAACCTTCCCAGGAGCCCCATGGTACAGACACAGCAAGGCCAGCCCAGCCTCCTTCCTCCAAACACAAACTGCTCCCTTGGTGCCACGTTGAGGAAATCCACCTCTCCTTGTTCTTTCAGGAGGGAAAACAGGGAATACCTACTCTTTGGGGTCATCACTGCACAAACTGCAAGGGAGGGGAGCTGGTCTTGGCTGAACTCCGTGCCCTGACCTGCCCATGGAGAGTCCTCAGCTCACCTTCTACTGACTCCCCAAGAGAGGCAGCAGGAGGCAGGAGATGCAGCCAACACTCTCATTGATCTGCTCACTTTTAATAGTGGGAAAGGCAAAAGGGATGCTGTTTTGCAGCAGTGAACACCTCGAGTATCACCACAAGCAGAGCCCGACACCCAGCACAGCCTCGGAGCTGAATCCGAGTTCCAAAGCCACCAGCAGCATTTTGCTGCTTAAAATTACTGATGTCCACCTTTTCCTAAAGCAGGAAAGCACAAGAGATTCATGTATGTTCTAGGTGGTGTTCAGAAGAGATGGAATCAGGGTAAGAAGAGTCAGAAAGTGAGAGTGGAGCCAACCACTAACGTCATGATGGAAAAGGCTGGAGCCCTGAGAGCTCCTAAGGGGATCCCAAACACAAGCACCAAAGAGCAGAGTGACCACACCCCAAAACACTGGGAAAGCCTAATTAACATCAAAACTGCTGCCAGACTTATCCTGGTGTGCCAGAGTCACCAAAATGCCATTTTCTGCAGCAGGCCACATTTTAAAATCAGGATTTCTCACGCCAGCCGGGATGAGGTTACGTGCTGCAAGACAATTCCAGGATCCTGGAAGGATCCAGGAAGGGGCAACTCAGTTCTCCATCCCTCACAGCCTGGCATTGCACAGGGGGTGTGAATCCCTGTTAATGGGTGCCAGTGTCAGGGCAGGTTGGTGTTCCCAGCAAGTTTGTTCCTGAGGAAAACAGGGAGCGAAGCACAGAGTTGGTTCCTTTACAAAACCCCTGAGACCTCTGCTCTCAAACAGCACTAGAGCCAGTGAGCTCTCCCTGTGCTCAGGGGTGACAGCAGGCATCCCAAAATCCCTCCTGCCAGCACTGCATCCTGCAAGGGCATCAAGGGGAAAGGGTGAAACCACAGCACCAAGGTGTAGGAGACACGGAATGTGCACAAAGGGGAGAGAGAACGTGCAGGAACGAGACCTTACACAGAATGCCATGGACTGTCACTCCCTTTGCCTTCCAAGCAAACAGGAAAAAAAGCAGAGGAGGGCCAGGGAAAGGAGGGGTCATATCCACCTGGAGGAATATGGATAACTGGCCTCTAAACTGCCAGAGAAACAGAAAGCATTTGTTCAGTTTCTTTATACTCTGCAGTGATAATTGGTATACAAATCCCAAAAATGTTCCTGAGTGTTCTCAGAGTGTAAAGTTTCCAAGGTTTTTTGCTGAAGACAACCAGCCTTATCTGAAGATTAAAAACAAGAGAGAAAGAGACTGTATGAAGTGAAGAATTACAGAACTGAGCTGAAGTGGCAGAGCGCACCCTCTCATCCCTCTGGGATGAGACACCCTGAGCACTCTGGTCAAATATTGCTCTGGGCAAAGAGTTTTAGAGTTCAGGTCCTTTGGAATTAGGTGACAGAGCTGCAGAAACCAAGGCTTTGCCAAAGCCACCCATGTGGCTTCCAAGTCCTTGTCATGGGACCGAAAGGACACGCACAGGAACCTCAGCAGTGCATTCCAACAGTGATCCCGAGCAATGGCTTTGGGAAGGGAGCACCTGCTGTGTTTAAGCTGCTCTTCTCCAGGAAATATGGACAGAAAATGGACAGAGAGACACCCACACAACTCCCTCCCTTCCCTCCCCAGCCAGGCTGGGGAGATCAAGCAGTCCCTGTTTTTCATCGTGTCTGTTCCAATTTTGGGAAGGAGATGCAGGCAGGGAATCCCAGCCAGAAGCATCCCCCTGGCTTCTCCCATCCTGCATCTTCTGCACGTGGCACCTCAACATCTCTTCCCACCTCTGCTCTCCAGGGCCCACCTTTGTCTTCCTAAACTCCTAAACCCCAAACTCCCTGGAGTTCAGGTGCATTCCAAGGGATGCTCCAAGGATGCAGGGACACAGCCTGCTGACTCTCTCCTTCACCTGGACACCTGGACAACAACCCTCTGACTCCTACACTTCCAAGCACTGAAGGAGGAAGACTGTGTATTAAAGGCAGTGTATTAAAAAGGGAAGAATCTTTTCCAATGAAAAATCAGCATCCTCACAAAACAAAGTCCTAAAGGCACAAACCGGTGAACTAATCAGAGCAGGGTACAGGAGGAACTGGAAAGATTCCCGTGGGATTAAAACAAAGGGTTTCACTACCAACCTAAGTTTCTGAGACAGCATTTAGAGCCTCAACCTGTACACTGAAAGCAAGAGGTGGCTTGAGTGGTCCGTGACACACCACGGACCCTCTGACCAGACAGCACATGCCATGTTTGCCTTATTCCTGCAAGCTTATCTGCTTCCTAAATAACACTGTTCACACGGATACAGATCTAGAAAGGGTTATAAATACATGTATTTATATATATTCACACATTTTAGTCCCTGTAATAAAGGTCTGCTCCTTTCTCTCCCGTGCTGCTGGAGCAGCTGCCACCACTGGTGGCACTGGGGGCTGTTCCCAGAGTAACTGTGTCCAGCCCAATCCTCCAGCAGCTGCAGGAAAACACGGATTAGTGCTGAAAGGAGACATGGGGGGCTCAGCTCAGCCCCATCTTTACTATTTACAGAAAAGAAACCCCTCAGACACAAAGTCCCACCTTCCCTCCAGCTCACAAAGCAGCTCTGCTCAGCCCAGCCGGGCTGGAGCCTGCACAGCCCAGCCAGGAGAGCCGGGATAAACGGGAGCATCATCCAGACATTTACACCGTAGGCAATAAACAACGAGCGGCATGCAAAGGGTTTGGGTAAAGAAGTCAAAAACAACCGAGGGCTTCAACATTCAGAAGTGTGTCCTGATGTGGCCAAGCCAACGTGGCAAGAGAGGGGATGTTAAAGCAGCAGGGGACTCCAGCCCTGGGATCTCAGCAAACACGAGTCCGTCAGTTCCACACAAATTAAACACAACATATCCCAAGCGCACCGAGCCCATCAGATCCCAAAAAATGATTAATCTATGTTGACAATAAATTTCTCCTTGCAATGGGTTTTCTCCTGTAGCACTGTGTATTTTCTTGGACACGTGAATAGGGGTGGAGAGGGAAGTTGGGATGCTTTGCCAAAGGCTTCCCCCACTGGGAAAAGAAAAGCTGTCCCTGAGTCATCACCAACAGCAGCGAGAACCAGCACTTTGTACTGAAATGCCAATCTGAGTTTCCCAGGAAAGGAGTGGTTATGGATTAGATTCTGATATTCTTCCCAGAGATTCAACCTCTTGTTGCCCAGAGAGGTTGTGGACTCCCCATCTCTGGAAGTGTCCAAGGCCAGGTTAGACTTGGAGCAACCTGGGCAAGTGGAAGGTGTCCCTGCCCACGGCAGGGGGTTGGAATGAGATGGGCTTTAAGGTCCCTTCCAACCCAAACCGTTCCAGGATTCCATAATTCAGCAGATTACTACAAAGCCTCTTTTGGACCAGTATCAAAGGTTCTCCAGCTTTTGAACATCTTACATTAAAACCAACAAGCTTTAAAGCAATTTTTCCAGCAATTCCTACGTGAAGCCTACAGGGGCTCAGGAAGCCAGCGACTCCTCCCATCATTTCCTCTCCCCGTCTGCCCTCTCACAGCAGTCAGGAACAGGGCTCAAAGGATTTGCTTTTGCACAGTAGGAAACTTCAGAAGGGACCTGGCAATCCCAGCCCACCTCCTGCCAGGTCCCCTCCCAGCCACACAAGGACACACAGCGGGATTAACAGGACGGTCGCGGGGTGTCCCTCCCCGGGACAGCGAACTACGGAGATCAAAGACCAGGACAAGGAAGATGCAGCAGAGGCCACGGCCAAGAAATTCAGGAGCTTTGGTCTTGAGGTTTCAACAGGGCCCTGTTGCCACTCAGAGAAAGAGCAGCCACCAAACAGTCAGCGCTACGACCAGGAGAAAGGACATCATAAAGGGAATGCGCGGAGAAGGAAAAATGCTAGAGTACAGCTGACACTTTTTGAGTGCTTTCTGCTCTTCAGGAATTGCAATAGAAACCTTTGGAAGAGTTTCTTCACTTGCTGGCCGGGGCAAGGCTGTCTCAGTAGGTATCTGCTGCTTTTTTAGTTTGTCTTCATCCTGTACTAACAGAGGACGTTCCCGTTTCTGCTTTCGTGGTAGGAGATCAAGAAAGACAGAGAGAGATGAACAAAAATGACAGATGGAAAGTGCCCAAAAGTGACACTTGGAGGTGTGCAAAGCATTAGGACAGCTCTTCTCAGTGTAAAATAAACTGCCCTGGGGAGCAGAGCAGCTGGTGGCCTGGGCCACACCAGCCTTGGAGCTACAGAACCACATCCTCCCCGCAGAGCTCATCAACATCTGGATCAGGGTCGTGGGTGGTTTGTGCCTGCCCTGCCAGGAAAGCAGGTGCTCAACACCTCCTCTGGAGTGTTTTGGAACTGGAATGGTTGACAAAAAAGTTGGAGGCATTAGGAATGGGAATGGTGCAGTACAAAAAGTGGTCTCTGACAGCTTCCTAAACTACCCTTAAAATCAGCGTTGGGCAAATCCCATGGAACAGCCAGACTGCGGAGCAGATACAAAAGGCTTTTCCAAAGTTCTGACCAGAGTATCAAAATTACTGATTGGTCTGAAAATTCTACTGGAGCGAGTGTAAAATTGTTGTTCTCAGAAATGCCACGTGTGGAACGGGCAGGATGGCAGTGGGAGCACCGCAAGCTCCTGGAATTTTGCTCCATGTTTCAGCACTTTTGTTTGTGGAGTCTGAAGAACGACAAAAACCCGGAATGAGTAAATCAGCACACAGGACCATGCAAAGGCTCCAGCACTTCTGCTGAAGAAAGAAAAGATTGTGGGAATGTTGCTGTGCAGTAACTCTCCATCCCTTTAGTTTGGCAGCCCTGGGCAAATCCAAGTGTACTTAGGAGAGGAAAAACTTGGCTCTAAGCTCCCTCAGCTGAGCCAACCTCCTCTGGTCAGTGCGGTATTTTGGGACTGGTTCTTTGCACACCCCTAAGTGGTGAGAATTGGGGAGAAAGTAGCTGGGAGACTGGGCAGCAAAAGAAAAATATAAAATGCCAGAGTAACATGATTGTTAAAACAACAAAGGAACGGAAAGAAAGACAACATAAAAAGAACAGGGAACAGTTAAACTTTCAGAATTGCTTTTCTCGCCGAAAACACGGTTATATCGTTCATGCAGCTTTTTCGAACCAGCCATGCACCAAAATAAGCAAAAACTGAAAGCTGCAAAAGCTGCAGCAAGTGCCAAAGTCCTCTGGGTGTGAGTTATGAAACTACTTCATGTAGCCAAAAGAAAAAATGTTATCCAGCAGCTGCTGTCGAGTTTTTGCTTGGTGCCATTGCAACAGCAAGTCTGGTTCAGAAGCACAGATCAGAGCAGCAGCTTTACCTCAAGCCCACCAACCTGTCTCTCAGAAGATAGGACAGTGACTTTCTTGACCTGGACACACAAAGCGTGTTAAGGTTCAGTTGTCTCGTAATAAAACATTCAGGAACAGCAGAAAAGCAGCCCCTGGCACACAACCCTTGGGCCACTAGGGCAGGGTGAAGGTACCACCTTTGCATGGTGAATTATCATCCTTAAATTACTGTCATGGTTTACCATCCTTAAATTACCATCATGATTTACCATCCTTCAACACGTGCAGGTGAAGGAAAACACCCTCCCTGGTCAGTGCCTGGTGCAGATGCATTTCTGGAAGTTCACAGAATGTGGCCACCTCCACCTCAGAGCAAGATCACTTCAGAGAGGGGTCAGATTAAGAGGGACTTTCCAGAAATGCAAATTCAGGGACACTAAAGACCCACTGCAGCTTTAGGTGGGACAATCCCACACCATCCAAGACCTCACAGTGTGGTCACCTTGTGAGAAATTCTCCACAATAACCAAGAATATCGTTCTTGAACTGCAGTTGTGGAGCTTGAGAGCCCCTGCTCTGTCCCACCCACACCCCAAAAACCACGTGGCACCGTGGGCAGAGCACTGCTGCCCAAATTCCTGTGGATTTAAGCTGAGGCTCAGCAACCACAGAGCAAAGTCTATCCAGGTGTTAAACAGGGTAATCCCGAGGACAGTTTGCCCAGAGAAGCTGTGGCTGCCCCATCCCTGGAAGTGTCCAAAGCCAGGCTGGATGGGGCTTGGAGCAACCTGGGATAGTGGAAGGTGTCCCTGCCCATGGCAGGGGGTGGAATGAGATGGGCTTTAAGGTCCCTTCCAACCCAAACCACTTTGTGATTCTACAGCAACCAACCCTGGCTAATTTGGGGATCTCATTTTATCTAAGCTGCCCTGGGTTTTCTCTACACTTTGAGGAGCCTGTAGTAAACTTGGTGTCAAACCCCCTGCAATGTTACAATGCTCCATCCACTGCAAGATTATTTCCTGATTAATAAGTGTTTCCCTTGCACTGGTTTGAAGATTAAATACAAGTTTATCTGCAGGGCTGTGAGCATGAAGGAGAAAACCAGGAGAGGGTCTCCAACTGCCACCACTGCAGCCAGGATGCAATTTTTCTGTTGTAACAAAAAATTGCATTTACTACTGAGTGAGAGAGTAATCAGAGATCGATTACCATGGGTGCTAACTACAGTTTTACTCACAAGCTCCAAATCTGAGTTAGGCACCACCAATATGACATAGAGAAGGTGTCTCTTAGCCAAGAAGAAACCAGTTGGTGACAGATCTCTGCTGTTTCCAACTGGGTTTCTTTGAAAAATTACCTTTTTAAGGGAATTAGCAGAGAAACTGGGTGTATGTGGCTACTAACACACAGGCCCTGCTCCTGGAAGCAGGAAGGTTCCCATCACGTATGAACAGCCCTGCTGAGGAGTCTTCCTGAAGCCTCCACAGCAGATCAGCACCTGGAGTTCCTAATGCAAGTCTAAACCCCAAGAAGAAACTGGGAGAGTAAAGTGATTTTGGAAAAATTATCCCATCCTAGTGCTTCTGCACTCTGAAGTAATAATTCTCTGAAGTAACAATTCTCTTTAATTTAGGAGTTCAGGTGGGTTATTTCCCCCCACATTTTGGGGAGATCCAGTCCCCAGGCCAGCCATGGGAAGTGCTCTCTAACATCACAGTGGCAGCAACACCGGGAAAAGCAGCACCAAAAGCAGGTGAGGAGTCCCCGCATCCCTTCCTACCGAAACAAACCCCCACGTTTTCACGACTTCAACTCTCTCAGGGACCACCCCACACGTTAAAAAGCCCCCCTCAGAACACCACCATGCCCCGAGGTACTCACTCCGTCCGCTCCCGTGGGGATCTGCCCGTTGACGTTGAGGGTCCGGAAGGGGGAGTGGGTGGACAGGCGCTTGTCCCACTCGCTCGGCCGCGGCTCCGGGACGGACTCCATGAAGTTCTTCTTCAGCTCGCTGATGTTGGCGTGGTGCTTCTTGATTTCCTCCTGGGGCTTGTCTAGATCCTACCAGCGAAAGGGACAGGGTGAGTGGAGGGGCGTGGGGAGCAGCTGGGACTGCCTAGGCTGCGCTTAGCAAAGCTGCGCTCAGCGGGCTGCGGCCCGAACCTCCCGAGTGGCGCTCACACCGCAAACACACAAAGGGAGCGTCCTCTCTCCTCTCTCCTCTCGGATTAATCTGGGATAAACTGCGATCACCGAGCGGGGTCTCCTCCAGCTGACCTGCAATTCTCATGGGATTTCTTTTTAGAGTTGCCAGACTTGTGTTTGGTTGGGTTATTTTTTTTTAAACGGGGTAGGTTTGCTTTCTTTTCCCTCTGCAAGCCTGAATATTCCCAGGTGTCGATACAATTAATGTTCAATAACATGTTTTCCCAATTTTTTTTTTTTTTTTCTCTCTTCATACCTATTTCCCTTTAATCCTACCAGGAATTATCTCAGCACCCAGAATACCCCCATTACCATAATTTCCCCTCCCTCTCATCTCATCCCTCCAGGAGCTACCATAGGAGGTTTTAGACTTCTGAAATGAAGATGAGATGATTTTTTTTTTTTTTAATCAAACTGAGAATTTCCTTTATGCTGGATCAATCGAAAAACTCCTGATGATTTTTTTTTTTAATCTGGAAAAAGCCAGATTTCTACTCTGTGATGCCAATTTACAGCATAAACACACAGACTTCAAGGCAAGTCAGCTTGTTAAAAATAGTTTTTTTCTTTGCAAGCAAACCAGAGTTTGTAGAAAACAAAGCTTCTGCATAAAATAGGCATAAGCCAAACAACAACTTTTCTGGACAGGGCCAAAAAGCAGCAAGAAAGGGAGAAATCAAGATCAGTAAAAGCATCACTGGGAAATTTCACTATTTTTGTGATTTCAGTTGTTACTCAGCCCTTTAATTTTAGAAGATGGAAGAGTAAACACATCCCTAAAGGAGGGGCCCTCCCAAAGATCTGCATCCCTGCAGCTCAGCCAGGACACAGCTAAACCCCAAATGCCTCTTTATCAACATTTACCCCTTTTGGCACAGTTCTGGGGGGGAAAAAAAGCAAGTTTTGGCATCAATTCTGGATGAATATATAAGGCAAGTGCCTGCTTGGTTAGGGAAAAAAAGCAGAAATAAGTCTGCTGAGGACTCCAGGGTAAATCCCTGCCTGGGACCAGGAACCCTACAGCTGCTCCTGGCTCAGAGAAGAGAGAAGGACCACCTTGGCTTTTCCAGCACTGTGCAGGAGCAGGGCCTGGGAGGGCTGGAGAGGAGCTAAAGCCACGAGGAGCTACGTGGAGCCAGGTCTGGGAAGCACCTTGAGGAACCAGCTCGCTCAGCGTCACCTCCTTTTCCTCCTGTTTTTCCCTTTCTGCAAGAACCTGGTGCACGTGGAGAGTTAAAAGGCTTTCAGCAAAATCAACAGGCAGCTTCAGGAGGGTGAGGTCTGCTGGGAAAATATCTGATCTGCCAAATGCATGGGTTAAAAAACACAAAGGGAGTGAAGGGGGTGAGCTGCTGGGTGAGCCCTGTTCTAGGGGAGGGCTGGAGCACCTGCAACAGAACCAGGGAGGGAAAGGGCTGGGTGGCAGAGGTAGGTGTTGCACTAACAGGAAAAAAGGGGTTTGGAAGCGATGACCAAGCTCTGTTTGGGGTTGGGGGAGAGGGAACTGTTTGAGTTGGGTGGAAAAAGGCGACAGGCAGAGTCTCCAGAGCTCCAGCAGCAGCCCGATGTGTTCACACCCTTCACTCGCGGCTCAGAGCTCTACGTTGTAGCAGGTTAAAAAAAAAATTAAAAATAAAAACAAGACAAAAACAAACCAAAAACCCACCCAAAAGCTGCAAGACTTTGAAAATTCCGATTAGGAGAAGGCAATTAGTTCACTCCACTTTTTCAAGAGATGCCAACAGGGAAACCCTACGAGCTGCTGGGGCTGCAAGTCTTGAGTAGAAAACACGTAACACAGAGTAACAAGAGCCACAAAACATCTCCCATAACACAGTGTATCAAAGAATTAAAATATATGATTGGCGTGGTCTGTTCTGAGACCGTGCTTGGGTGAAAGCAAACGGAAAGGGCTCCCAAATTCAAAGGGAAGAGCTGTAAGGTGGAGGGATGAGCCACCCGTGACCACTGAGCCCCCACGTCAGAGGTGACAATTTCACTGAATCCCAGAATGGTTTGGGTTGGAAAGGACCTTAAAACCCATCCAGTTCCAACCCCTGCCATGGGCAGGACACCTTCCACCAGCCCAGGTTGCTCCCAGCCTGGCCTTGGACACTTCCAGGGCTGGGGCAGCCACAGCTTCTCTGGGCAACCTGTTCCAATTTCCCCTGTAGCTTATCCTGAATTTTGTATTTTCATAGACTGGCTTTTCCCCCAGGAATATAATTTGTGTCAAGCAGTGAAAAACTAGTCCCCAGTACAATCTATGCCCCTGTGAGCACCCAGTGGGTCCCAGAGCAGATCTGAGCTCTGCCAATCATGTATTTTGGGTAGGTATGAGAGAATGAAAGTCAGAAGAGGTAGAAGGAAGAATGGCTGCACATCATCATGTTTACTGTCACCATGCAAAAGCATAATTAAAAAATCAAATCAAATCAAAAGGTCTTTCATGCAAGAGCATGCAAAATAAAGGCAGCAGCAGAAGAGGAAGAAGTTCAGCGCAGATGCAGAAGGTTTAGGCAAATGCAACTCAAAAAAAGCTTCAAGTTCATACAAACCTCCAACATTAAATTGCTATGCCTGATATAAATGTTTTCACCATCTAGCCTCTTTGATCTCTTCTGTGAAAATGAAAGGAAAGGGGGAAACAAAACAAAACAAAAACAAAAAAAGCACAAAAAATTAAAACGTTGGTCTTGCGGGATCGAGAAATCGGCAAATTAAAAAAGTTAACTCAAGGTCGGGAGTGCAGCGCTGAGGCAGCGTGGGGTGGGAATTCCCACCAGGAATGGGGGTCTGGCTCATGGAGAATGGGAGATGTGATGAGTCCTTTAAAGAGACAGCTCCCGGGGGGGCCTCGGTTCCGACCACAAAGAGACGGTCACTGGTTTTTCCAGGGAAACCTCGCACAGGTCACCACGTCACATTCCTGAGGGATGCAGCCCACCCCAGTGTGAGGCTGTACTACCTGGAGTAACCTTTACAAGGTCCCCATGTGCACAGTAACTATGCCTTAACCACCTTTCCCATCTTGGATGTGTCCCTGACACTTAATCAATACCGAAAAACATCCTCCTCATTTTTTATTTTTTTTTTGCATTTCCTGCAGTGCACACTGCACAGTTTTCTCTGGTTTTTAACTGAATTTGTTACAGAGAAGATAAATTTCATAAATCAAGCCAAGTGTGTCTCTTTTGAACATTCAACATGCATAATTTTAGCAATCAGGCTGTGTCTATGGGACAAAAAACTACTCATTTTCCAATCAAGTCTTTGGTAGGTTAAAGACAACCAACCTCCCAACCCAAAGCACAGGAAGAAACTGGAGCACTGTCTTTTTAAACATGTTACAGATGCATGAATGATATGGTAAATTTGGCTGGTGAAAGGGTAAAATGGCTAACCTTCCTCATTCTTATCAGCTCTTCCTCTTTTTCTGCAGGCTGCTGCTGTTGGGCAGTGATAAAAACAAAAAAAAAAAGAGTTGTTGGTTCATTTAACTACTTTGAACCTTCAAAAAAAAAAAAAAAAGAAACCAAAACAACTGTGAGCAACCTAAACTGAATTATGAGCACAAACCTGGGGCTGGGCACCCTTCGTGGTGGGGACTGTGACCTCAATGTGTGTTTTCCTCACCTACATTTAAGAAATAAATCGGTAAAAACATTTCTTGTTAGTAGATTTGTTTCGAGAAACCATTTAGTTTCCAAACACGGCTGCATAAAGTTGGTTTTTGAGGTGCTGGGGGGGGGGAAAACATGCAAAAAAAAAACCAACATGCAGCCCTGGGTTAATGGCACGGCAGCTCTGTTAGTCAAACAGCACGTGAAATAATTCCTTCGGCTCCAGAATTATTTGTATTTGAAACCAAGTGCTCTGCAGGGCTTCTGAAGGAGGGGCTTCCCACTTTGCATGAGCTCAGCCAGGCAATGTTTTCAAATGTCATTGGCAGCTGGATCTCCCAGGGAAATCCCACCAAAGCAACATGCTCCAATTAACACAGACCTTCTCAAAAAACAGAAATTAGGGGTTATATGCACAGGTATTATGTTGGCAGAGGCAGTAAGAGCAGGCTCAGCTACAAAACCAAGCCTAACATCACTTATTAACTTCTTTCCTGTCCACAAGCAGAGAGCCAAGATTGTCTTAACACTCTCAAGGAAGTATTTTAGGGAAATTGGATTGCCAAGTACTCTGAAGGCAAAAGCATCGGTGGGTGTTAAAAGAAGTGATGCAGCTACACTGGAGAAACAGGGTAAATTTGGCACGTTCAAATCCACAATTTCCTCCCACATCTATATTTGAAGGGGGAAAAAAAAAATCCAGTGTTTAAGCATTTAAGAAAAAACCTGTAATCACTGAGATGGGATGAGTAAAATTTCTTCGTTCTCAGTGTAACACGAGGGAGGAGGAGCAGCCAGGCAGGAACTCTGTGCTCCAACTCCAACCCCACAGTGCCAGCCTGAGGATCCCTTCAGCACTTTCATTTAAAAATCACTGCTCACACAGGCCTTGGAATTTTTTGAAGCAACTGTCCTTTCTTCAGCTCCATCTCCCAACCTTAATTAATGGGGATTTCCCCTGGAGATGTCACACAAGACCCACTGTGTGATATGTTACAGGAAATGTGGCTCCAGCAATGCTGAGATCAGCTAAATTTTGGAGGGATGTGAAAATCGTGTCTCAAGGCAAGCACCTCTGCTGCACCCCTGCAAGTCAGTCAATAAGATCTGCAGAATGTTAAGGACACTGGAATATCAACATTAATTTTGCACATTATTCTGACTTATTAGAACAACACACACATATCAACCCCAGCAAAGGCCTCAGACATTTGTAGAAAGGTCAAATAACGGTTAAAAAAAAATGGCATTTAAACAACAAGCCCCCCCAAGGTCTCACCAGTGCCATTGTCAACTAAAGTTTTAGTCCAGTTTGCAGCACTGCGTTACCAGCTCTCCCAGCCAAAGACTATCAGTGTGAAAAACATTCTGGCACTGGGCTGCAGCCAGATCCATATCACTGATTTCACTGGAATTGCCTCCTGCTGTCGTACCAGGAATCAAGAGGCACAGCCTGGCCACGGGTGAGCCCTGAACTCCAACCCCACGAGCACGTGCAGCTCTTGGCAGTGTTTTTAAACATCTGGAGGTTGCACTTAGTTTGACCTGCAGCCACCAAAACTTGGGAGTGTCTCCTCTTCCACAAGGAATGTCAGGGCTGGGATTTCCCTGGCACCCAGGTCCCCGTGCCTGCTCCTGATGCCTGGGAGAGGGGCAAACCCCTCATCTCCCAGGAGGGGAAGGTGGACAGAGCTGCTGCTGTGGGGTGGCTCCTAGAGCGACACTCCGGCTCTTCCAAAGAGATTCCGGTCTGACCTACCTTGGATGCATCAGCCGGCTCTGCTTTGGCTTTCTCCGGTGGGAATTCCTCCCGTCTCACATCAGCTTTTGCTGTTTCCTTCCCTGTTTTAGATGTGGCCACGTCCTTCACGTCAGGCTTAGCCGGGGCTGGCTCTGCAGGGTGGCTCTGAGCGATGGCCGGGGCCGAGGTGGGCCGGGGACTCCGCTCCGGGGTTATCACGGCCACTGCTGAGGAGGGGGGACACACAGGGACAAGGTTCAGAGCAGGTAATGTTCCAAAGCTCTAGGTAAAGTCTTGCCAAATTACAGTGCTGTCATTTCAAAAGAAAGGGAGGAGGAGGAGGAAAAAAAGGGAAACGAAATAAAGATGTTGAGCGAAGCAGCTTGTGCGTTTAGTACGGGAGGGTTGAGATTATTTTCCTCACGGTTTAAAACGAAATCAAATAAAGCCCCACACCAGATGGTTTACAGAAAAGCAAGCTTGCACTCTGCAGAGAAGCCACACCAGAAAGGCAAATCTGGAATTTGACATCGTGCCACGGATTTCTGGGTCCTTCACACACAACTGACACGGACTCCACTCCAGTGCAACCACAAAACAGACACAGCGTGGGGAGTTCCGGCTTGTGGGCACCTCCTCAACCAGAAACAGATGGTTTCTGGAAGGGAAACACAGGTTTTTCCCCCCTCCCCAGTCTTTTAGGCAACTCAAATGAAAAAATAATCAACAAGCACCGCTCTAGGAAACTTCACAGCAACTTCCAGGTGGGATTCAAAGCAGGCTGGGCTGTGAGTCCCAGGGGTATCTCCAAGGCAGCATGGTGGGAAGATACCCAGCACCTCCAGGCCAGTGACAGTGCAGGAATGAACAGCATGCTGCCAAAAAATCACCTTTCCAGAGGATGATGGTCTTAAAACACAAGCACTAGCCCCACACAAAATCAACTGCCTATTCCTTTCCTTCAGTTCCTGATTTCCCAGGCAGTTCCTGATTCCTGACTCCAACAAAATATTCAAGCCAATACTGTGTGACAAAGCCAACCCCAATTAATTCCCTGTGTGTACCAATAGATAAAATAAGCTACTTGGTTCTCCTGATGTTGGGTTATGGATGTTCCACCAAAAACACACCCAAAATAGTATCTTTGACGTGGTCCCACATTCCCAAAGTCACAGTTTGCAGCAGGGTCACACCATGCAACCCATCCCATCCCACACTGGTGTTCCAGTCAAAGACATTAGAAAATTTGCTGTTAAAAATGAAATTGTGATTTCAAGCAACTCCTTAGTAAGAAGGGGGGGGTGGGGGCAAAAAAGAACCTGATTTTCCACAGACTGGAATTACACTTTCAAGACAAACTCCTGGACCCACCCCAAACCATCACCACGGGCTCCATCCTCTCCCTGCTCCTCAGCACAGCAGCTCATTTCTGTGACCCAGACACTGTGTTAAACTCCCAGGAGGACAATTAGTGCTGTGTCCTGGTGTATTTATGCCATGGAAGCGGTGACAGCCGCTGGGAAGGTTGTACAGAGGTGGGATGGCAGGGACAGTCGGGATGAGGAGGATGCTGGGAGAGCAAAGCCGTCATCGCGGTGGTACCTGGCTCCTTCAGGACTGGCTCTAGTTCTCTCACCACCATCATTTTTTCTTCCTCCTCCTCCTCCTCCTCCTCTTCAATTGGGCTTATCTCAATACTGCCAAGATCACGTTTGGCTAAAAAAGTTATGGATGTGTTAAAATGCCACCTCAAAGATGAAGCAGCAAAGGAAATACTGCCACCAGTAAATCCGCACGGCCGCCTCTCCTGCTCCTCTCCCAGGGCATCAAGACATGCAGGAAAAATAATAACAGACACCAAGCTTTTCCTCTGCCATCCAACAGTGAGTTCTGGGCTGCCCAGAACTGTATTTTAGTCAATTATCCTGATTAACTACTTTAGGTCATTTTGACACATGATTCAAACACAGTAAAAAGCACTGCCCCAAAATAAAATGTAGGTTGGAACTGGGTAATCTTTAAGGTCTCTTCCAAACCAAACCATTCCACGATTCTATGATTGACCACCATTGCCTCACTGACAGTCCCTGCTGGGAACAGGAGAGTCAGGAGGAGGAAAAGTGCAGGAGATGGATGAGAAGGGGCAGCTGCATCAGGAGAGCCCCAGCTGTGCTCAGGTCTGACACTGGCTGATGTTCACTCTTCTGCTGCCCATCCCATGGAATACCCTCCAGTGTTCTCCACACTAACCAAGAAAACATGAAGTTCTCAGTTACCTCCCTCCACAGCTTCAATCTCCTCTTTCTGCAGCAACTAATCAACCCTATTTTAATTACAATTAGCGTGGATCTGACTGCAGCAGCGACGTTGCTCTGACACCCTTCCCCAACTAGGGAAGCAGCACTCCCTAGTGAAGAAATAAAGTGGAATGTAGGTGACCTCCAGCAGTCCTGGATCTCATAACCTGATTTTCAGGCACTGCACGTTCCTACAGCTCAGGGGAGCAAACCTTCCAAGAGGGAACAGCAAGGGAGGAGCGTTAAGAGGCCACTGCACACTCACTCCCACACACAGCCAAGCCAAGCCAGAGCTCACCTCACCCAGGGCACTCCTGGAAAGCAGCACACGGCAAAGCTGGGGGGATTTTAGTGGCAACAAGCACCACCACAAAGCAGTGCAACCTGTGTCCTACAGCACTGCATCACTTCACCCCAGCAGTGACAGCACAGCAGCCACCAAACGCCGCTGCGGCTGTACCTGACCGCGGCGGCACCGGCTCCGGGAACTTTGGCTGGGCAACAGGAACCTTAACCACCTCTACCTTCTCCTCCTCCTCTTCCTCCTCTGCAATGGGTTTCATTTCAAAAGTTTCAAGAGTGTGTTTGGCTAGAAAGAGGTTTGCAGGTGTTAATGGGGGTCGGGGACCCGCACGGGCACACGACAGTCACCACAGCAAAGAGCGAGAGATCCCTCTCAGCAGCTGGGAAGAGGTTTGCAAACCAGGCAGCTCAACAGTCGTTTTCCACCATGGAATTGTGCACCAGCCTTTCTAGTGCTGCCATACCCAACAGTGCATTGGATAAGAGGAGGAAAGAACAACAGAAACAAGCTTTGCAGGCTCCTTGCCCGGGCAGGGAGACGTGGGGACAAGTGTGGAATAAGGATGGGCTCTGCCTGCAGAGTCTGGAGGGACAGGGGTGCTTGGCTGGCAAAATCCAGGCAAAACACATCCAGACAAAAACCTATCTAAAAACTAGCAGCTTTAATTAAACATACTTGAGTGATCCACTTCCAATCTACGCCTGGAATTCCTCACCCTGTTTTTACAGCATCGGGCTTTCCCCACCGGGCAATGCTGACTAGGGAGGATCCAGGCATGACCACGGTGGGGAGAAGTCTGACACACATCATGAAAGCTGGATCTAGATACCACAGAAACAGTGATGCAGTCAAAAGCACACTGTAAAAAATTCCAGGTGGAAGGAGGGAAGCAGAGCAGTACCCACAGCATTTGCATACGAATTATTTTCAGCCCTAACACACCACAGGCGGTCGCCATCCAAGTGATGAAGGCTGCAAATATTTGACAACACTGTGCTGTGAAACACTTATTAGTATTCAAATGTGCTGTTGTACCTACACCCCTCTTAAGGACATTAATATTTATTAATATTTATTCATAGAACCTCTCCTAAGAGAAATATAAGCTCCGCAGCCTAAAAGGGGTGGCATTTCTCAAATGCTGAAAAAAGATCCCAGAGTAGACTTAAAAAAAAAGAAGTCCCAGAATAGACTTTAAAAATGTCAAGAAGGTCCCAAGATGAAGAATTTCAAAAGCTTCACAAGAAGTTTCAAGATCAAACTTTAAAGTTTGCTAATTCACATACACAAAACTACTCAAATCTAGTGAGAGTTCCCAAGTACCATCACATCCTAAACTTTTCCCCACCTTCCCACAAGAATCACAAGGTGCAAGGTGGAAATTTAGGGAGTGTCCCAGAGTTGGGCTGTGTCTCCTCTCACTGCAGAATTCTTCTTGCAAAGGAATGAAAAAAGAAAGCAGCCAGATTTGGCGAAACTTGGAATCGTCAGGAACAAGCACGTAGAGGACAGGAAAGGCACTGCAGAGAGTTGTAGCCACCACCACCACAGCTATACCTGGCTTCTCTCGGATCTGATCCGCAGGTTTTGGTTCAGGAACCTCAACCACCACCACCTCCTTCTGCTTCTCTTCCTCTACGGTCCTGAACTCAACTTTGTGAGTCGCGCGTTTAGCTGAGGAAACGGGGCACACGTTATAGGGACCCGCCCGGCACGGGCAATGCTGCAACCACCACGGAGCTCAGACCAAGCTGCCACTCCCCTCTGGATTGGAGGCACAAAGCCCAGGTTTGGAGTGTCACTGAGCACAGGAGCAGGGATAGCCTGGCTGCTGCTGGTCACGGGGTGCTGGGACAATCCTGGTGCCTCCCGGGCTGCAGCACAAGCTCGGGGCTCAAAGCAATGCGGTCCCTGCTCCATCCAGGATGCTCCCCTTTCCCTGGATCCTTTCAGTGCACAGGAACGTTCCCCTTTCCCTGGATCCTTTCAGTTCACAGGAATGTCCCCCATTCCTTGGATCCTTTCAGTGCACAGGAATTCCTTCTGATCCTTTCAGTGCACAGGAATGTTCCCCATTCCCTGGATCCTTTCAGTGCACAGGAACGTCCCCCTTTCCCTGGATCCTTTCAGTTCACAGGAATGTTCCCCTTTCCCTGGATCTTCATTGTGCACAGGGATGCTACCCCTTTCCTAAATCCTCACGGTGCATAGGGATGCTCCACTTTCCCTGGATCCTCTCAGTGCCCAGGGATGCCCCTCTTTCCCTGGATCCTCTCAGTGTAATGGGATGCTCCTCTTTCCCTGGATCCTCTCAGTGCCCAGGGATGCTCCACTTTCCCTGGATCCTCTCAGTGTAAAGGGATGCTCCCCTCTCCCTGGATCCTCTCAGTGTAATGGGATGCTCTCTTTTCCCTGGTTACTCACAGTGCAAAGGGATGCTCCCCTTTTCCAGGATCTTGGTACCCAGATCAAGATCAGGATCTTGATCCAGATCAAGTGGAGTCAGCTTAAACACTCTCCTCTCCATGTCTCATCTCATCTCCTCTAGCCTGGAGCTATCTATCTCCTTTAAAAATGTGGGATAAGCCCACCCAACTGATATCCCAACCTAAGCATGGCTTTAAGAAACACTGAAAAAGTTTCAGTTGTGGCAAAAAATCTCCCCCTCAAGGAAAACTACAGAATTTAAGAAGTTATGTTAAACAAAACAAAACAAATAGTTTGACTCCTGATTTTCTAATTACAACCAGAACTTTGCCATGAGCCTTCAGCACCCACCTACACCCCTTTTGTCAGTGAGTTCTGCTGGGACTACTCTCAGTCTGCATTTCTGTTTTGGGTCTGGCTGAGTTGGAGCTCATTTTCCCACGGCAGCCCTCACAGTGCTGTGATTTTAAGATAAGGATACTACCTGGGAGAGGTACCAGGCAAGTAAGTACTGAGCAATGCCGGAGAGCGGAATGATCAAGGGGAGTTTCTGTCGTAATTATACTGAAGGGACAAAGGGTGCATTTTGTGTAAATCATCTGTGCCGTGATGATCTTGTGATGCTGCTCTTTTGATCTTTGCAGGGGGAATTTTTCTGCTGGTTGGTTGTTTCGCATCCTGACGCGAGCGACGGCCGCGCGACCAGCGCGGGTTTGAACGGCAACCCTTAAAACACGCGACTCCAGGAGCTGGAGCTCAGGGTTCTTTGTACAGCAGGGGGGTTGAGGTGTTACTTCAGCACCTCGGGGGCAAAGGCTGCACTCACCTCCATCCAGGCTCCTGGAGGCTCGCTTGCTGGCCGTGCGCTCGAACTGGGGCGCGGGCCGGTCGATCAGGGCGCTCGCCTGCCGCGTCTGCGCCTGCGTCCGCCCGCTGTAGCGGAACTTGGAGCCCAGCGCCAGGAACCTGCTCTTCGGGATGGCCTCGGTGGAAGTCAGCCTGAAAAAAACACCTCCACGGTTTAAAAAAATGCACCTCCGGGTCAAGCAAGTGGCAAATCCAGCAGAGCTCGGCGCGGTTGAGGAGGGTAAGGAATAAATCTGAAAATCTGCGTCACCGAATTCAAACTTCCTTGTGATATTTGGTGGATTTTCTCCCGCTCCAGGAAATCCCAACTTGGCATTTCCCAACAAATCTCCTCAATTGCTAACACCAAATGCTTTGAAATGAGTGCTCCTTCATGGCTGTGGCATCTCCATCAGGAGAGCTCCCCAGATCCAGAGAGCTCAGTGTGCTTCAGAGTAGAAACACCTTCTGAAGAATCCAAGAGGGCACTTTGAGTTGGACTGAGCTCAAATCCCACTAAATCTGAGCTGTTCTGGTTTAGGTGCCACTCACTAAACTTTATTTTTTAAGGAGTTTCATTTTCTGTGGATGTATTGGGAAGGGAGAGTAAAGGGGGGGAGGTAAATAGATAGGAAATAAAATAGAAATTAAAGAAGTCTCTTGCCAATAAGTCTCACATCTACATCAGCCAAAGTTTTCTGTCTTACGTATCTTATGAAGCAGAAATTTACTGCAAAACAAACACTAAAGTGTCCCTGCAACCATTTCACTCCAATTGCTCTGAACCCTAAGGAACACTGAAGGAACTAAGCAACACTGCTCATTTTCAGCAGTCACACTAAAGCATTAGTTACCCAAAGTTCAGACAACCCACCTGAAGAAGGTGTGATGTTCAACACATACTTTCCACAGCTTCTTCGCTGCCCGGTAACTTGGAAGCTTGAAGCCAATTGTACTTTCATACTGTTCTTGCTGTGGAAAACACAAGTTATTTAGGTATAGCAAGGAATAAATATGGCAGGAGCTCAGTCCCCAGCCCATTGATCTGTTCTGCTGTGGCACAAACTGCTGAACTCACTCCAGCATGCGCAGGAGGAGCTCAGGTCAGAGGAAAGGCAGGCTTTGGCCACAAGCCTGGGCATCTCTCAGGATGCACTGGGATTTACAGAGGAACATGCTGTGGATTTTGCAGCCAGTCAGCCTCATTTACAACTCCATCATACTGCCCAGCTGCGGGATGGGGTCAAACATTGATCTCCCTGCAAGGCTGGGTCAAGGCAGTGGTAGCAGGAGAAGAAGGAAGAGGAGGAAAGAGGCAGATCCCCATTGTAGCCAGGCTGCTCCAATGATCTCCCCATTTATGAAGCAGCATCATCCCCTGCCTCCTGCCCTTAGGTGAAAAGCTAATTCGAATTTTTAATTACTTTTAATAAAAGCAGGACAAAGAGCCTTTTGTTTTGCCTTGCGTCCACAAAAAAAATAAAAGGAGTTAGTCCTCTCCCAGTTTCAGCTGTCAACTTTCCCACCCGTTTCCCTGGATGCTGGGAATTCCCCGCCGTGCCAGGAGGTGGTGCTGGATGACACGCAGTTAAACCATCACCAGCTGGGCTGGAGCTCACACTCTGTTCAGACACCCCGATCCCAAATGCTCATCCAGGGAAAAGACCATTCCCTCCCCGTTCCCTCCCCACCCCGTTTCAGTGACACACAGGCGGTGACAACCACGAGGCAGTGACAGGTGACACACAGGAGCCAGGACACACCTCCCCCGGCCGAATCTTTATGAAGAAGCTGCTGCGCTTGTAGGAAATCTTCAGGACTTTGGGCCACGGGAAGCGGTTGATTCTCAGTTTGTCTTTGTAAACAAGAAGGCCACTGGAACAGACTCCCAGAGTGATGTCCACTCCTTCCAAGTCCTGGGAAAGCAGAAGAAGATTTAAGCAGTGTCAAGGTCCAAATCACCCCTTTGGTCTTGTCCCAAATTCATCTCCCCACTCCCCCAGACTCCAGCTCCCAGCTCCAGGCTGGCCTTTCCTTCACGTTTCTCCTCACAACCTCCTCCTTCTTGTCGATCTTTCCTGCACTGCTGGTTGCCCAAAGGGCTTATCTAGAGTCCAACCTGCGTTTCCCCACATGGCAGGTCAGAGCCATAAATTCAAAGTTCCTCAGAGCAAGGACTCGTCTACATCAGGAGCTTTGGAAAGCTACATAAATAATAAACAACCAGGAAGAATCCCTTCTCCTGCAGGAATGCTTGAGGCATTCCTGTTCTGTGCCTGTATTTCCATGCTTCCTCTACCTTTCAGAAGGAGTTTCCTGAAACAGGTAAACTTGCTCCTGCAAGGGAAGGATAATCAAATGACAAAACCCACAGGCAGGTGCTGGTTCTCACCTTGGCTTGGTGAAGGTCGACTCCATACATAGACAGCTTTTTTGCATTCTCAAGAAATTCCAGGTCTGCTTGGGCTGGAGTCATGGATCTGGGGAAAGAGAGAAAGGGCTTGGTAATTCCCCAAACTGTTGCTTTTAAGAGAGGACAAATCAGACTTCAGGAAACTCATTAGATTTTGTTCTGCTTTCAGCACAACAAAATTTGTGCTCAGGTGATGAATTATTACATCACTCTGAATGCCCACATTTGTGCTTCGAGACATCCCCACAACACAGATGCACTTTACTCCTGTGGAGCTCTACAGGCACTAGAGAAGAAAGCAAGGAACAGCAGTGAGGGGGCAAAACTGGATTCAGCAGAAGAAAACCCCAACTGAGCCGCAAGGCAAAGGGTGACAGGTCCTGTCCCCCCAGACCTGCTGCTTCCAGACCTCCCCAAACCCAGCTATTGTTCTCCAAGCCAAACACATGGACAGCTGAGACCACTCAGCAGCGATTCCAACCGGGGGACCAGATGAATGAGGGGTTTTCTGGGAACAGATGGTGCCCTGTCTGCAGGAGGGGCACAACTTAACAGAGACATCCTGATAATGGCCTCCATTATCAACGGTATTGAAGTGCCCTTGTTAATAAGTTTCTGGTGTGTGAGGTACATTAACAGCTCTGTTGGGAGAGAATTCAGCTGCATTCATTTCATTTTCTTCCCTCCTTTGATGTCTTCCTCACTGAGCTCTCCCATACATCTTGTGTGTGATGTAAATAGAGTTTGTGGTTGGTGGGAGACAGGGCAGACAAAGACAGCTGTAAGGACAATTCTGCAGGAAAGACCCAGGAGCTGTCTCTATCTCCACACCTGCCTTGAGCTTTGCAAATACAGTAGCAAGAGCTGGAGAGTTGTTTAGCAGGGATTTCCCTGGAAGTGTTCAAAAAACACGTGGGTGTGGCACCTGGGAACTGGGTTTAGTTGAGGGCTTGGCTGTGCTCAGGGAATGGTTGGACTCAATGGTCTTCCAGGCCTTTTCCAGCCTTAATGATTCCATGACTCTGATTCCCACTGAAAACCCTCTGACAGTTTAATGTTCACAGAATACAGACCAGAAATTAAACTGGGACGTTTCACTTCCTCCTGCACACGCAGACAGATGAAATATAACTACATCTTATACCTTGAAGTCTCCTTCTAATGAAGCCATGAATAATTCATCACCCTGATCCGCCACTTCCAGCACAGCAGCGGCCTTTGACTCCGAGTCATGAAGCTTGTCAGTGGCCTGGTACTTATTTTCCCTCATTTCCTCTCCTCTCAGTGCAAATGGAGGGGAATCAATTTAAAGTATTGATTTGGAAGGTTGAGTGAGGTGTTAATTGTAGGTCTGGCCACAGCCAGGAGCCCATGTCCACCCTTCCCACTGCACTCCAGTTATCAGTTCCCCCTCTGCCTCTGAGAAGGTCTTGTCTTTGCTCTGTTCTTGTCAGGGCATCAACCAGCAGCTTCTCACAGGGCAAGGGGCTGCTGGTTGAAAGTACCACCAAGGTGGTGTTACGGATTTTGGGGGGTTTTCCCCTCCAAAATCCCAGTGCATCCCTGGGAGGGCACAAAAGCTGCGGCCACCACACCTTACCTGTACGTTTTATGAAGCTCCACAACCTTCTCCTCGAGCTCTTTTGTCTGGTTTGGGGCCAGTTTGAACTCAGTGATGTAATCTGGGCCGTGGAGATCGGGATCATAGTCCCCCAGCTCCGACTGGACCGTGTAGGAGCCCAGCAGGGCCAGGGTTGCAAAGGAGCAGGGCAGCCGCCCTGAGAGGATGTCCTGTCTGAGCTGAAGACACAGGTAATACCTGGGGGCAAAAAGGAAAATATTAATCACAGAGAAATTTATGAACTTGAGGGTCAGTCTCTATTTTAAGCCACTGATGAGCGAGCGCGGTGCTCGTTGCCAGTTTCTACCTGTATTTTTAGCCATTGCCAAGGTAAACAGTGAGGAGCTCTGGGGGATTTAAGGTCACCTCCACTCTGCAAAGGGACCAGAAAATCTCAGGTTCAGATAAAAATGTGCTTTCCTCTGCAAACACACCCATGCCAGGGTTGTACATGACATTGCTTTACACAAGAGCAGGAGCATCCACACACCCACTGAGAACAAACCAAACCCCCTCCAAATGGGGAAGACATTTGATCTCCTCACTGAAGGAGCCAAATATTAAACATTTCTGTTCTGTATTCACTGCTCTGCTGGCAGCAGATTCCCAGGGAACTCACCTGGTTATATCCTCTGTCAGCTGGGCAGGATCTGGAGGATAAAACTTGACATTGAAGGTAAAATCCCAGGGGCCTCCTGCAATGACAAAGGAGAGGTTGAGAAAAGTCAACACACCAGAACAGCTTTGTGACAGTCATTATTATTAAAGCTGTTATTAAAAAAGCTGGGAATATCCAACCTGATCTTCAACAATTCACCCAGCAGATGTAACACTGACCTTATACTGCTCACTCTCACAGCTGGATGCAGCTTAACATCTGTATAAGATATGGTTTTATTTATAGGATACAAGCAGGAGAAAAAAAAAAGTAGGGCAGGGAAATACACATAAATAAACCACTACTTGTGGTAAAAATTAAATTCATTGCTAAGAAGCTCAAGGACTCCCATGTTCTTTCATTGATTGAAAAGGGATTCATGAAGAGAGGGCAGGGGTGGGCTGTAAGTTAATGAATTAGGATTGGTTTATCACTCAAGCCAATTTTCAAATTTCAAGAGGGGATGTGCTAAGTCACTTCTCAGCCTAATGCACAGGGGTCAGGTGGTCAGACACAGGTTAAACTCAGCCCAACACAAGCATCAATCTCTGGATGAGAAACCAGCAAGCACCAGGGTAGGAAGAGCTTTATGAGCCCAGACCTAAATGTTTAATATCTAATGTTTAAAATAATACTTGATGGTTAAAATAATGTTTGCTGTAAACCTGGTGCAGCACCATTAGAGGCATTAACCAGAGTGAGAATCCACATAATCACACTAGAACTGGCATTATGAGTGGTCTGGCCAGCCTAGGTGCCACAGCTGAAGGGGTTGCTCTCTCTTTTCCTTGAAAATAATCCCATTTCCCAGCAGAAAATAGTCCTGACCGGGTGATGTTCTTAGTTACACCTCCCCCCCACCCTGTTGTGGCCCTTTAACACCAGCTCAAAATGAGATTTCTTTCAGAAAGAGAAGATCTGTCCCTGCACTTCACCCAATCTCACACAGGGAAGAGGGGCCACGGAGCATCCCTGGATTTACTTCTTATGCAACGCCATAACTGGGATTAAACACAAGGCATGTTGTTTTCAGCACACACGGTTCAAAACAAGCGATTCCAAGAGGTCATTTTAGGGAGCAGAGGTTATCTAAAGCAACATGCATCAGGGTACACACACTCATACCCACATTCAACCTATTTTCCAGTAAAATCTAATAATCTGCCATTTAACCCCTCTCAGGGGATCAGATTCCATAAGAAGCTGCTGCTCATCACATTTACCAGATGAATTTTATGGGTGGAGCAGCTCCTGCCCTTCAAACACATCCTGCTGTTGATTCCCAGAGAAGTTGGTAAGACCAGGAGCTTTCCCTGCTCCACAGCCCTATGGTGTTCCCCCCCAAACAATCTGGACTTAATGACACACTTTGTCCCGTGCCTTCCACCAAAAGCACCCATAAAACAGTGTTTTACTCTCATAAAACAGCATTATGCTTCCCAAACCCAGTGTTTTACTTTCAAAAAACCAGTGTTTTGTATCCAAAACCCAGTAGTTTACTTCCCAAACCCAGTATTTTACTCCCAAAGCAGTCTGACTGGCCCCCAAGGGAAAACAAAAGCCTCTGAAACGTTTTTAATTTTGACACTGCCCTCATCTTGAAGTAATTCAGTGCTAGCAGACCTTAAAACACCACTCTGGAGAGCATCTGGTGATACTACTCGAGCCATTCATCGTTCCAGCACTGCTATTTGGACCCCAAAACAGCCTCAGAGTCCACCAAACCCTGCTCCAGCTCACAGGACACCCATTTTCCCTCCAACAAGGAGCCATCTCCCATTCCAGCCCTGCAGAGCCAGTGTTCCTTTGCTTCAGGCAAACACACCCCAAGCCCATGTTTTGCCAAGGAAATGACATTTTTTTCCTAAATCCAGAGCATCCCTAAGTCCTTAAGAAGGAGAGAAAGGACGCAGAGACTGCTTGAACTTGTGCTGATCCCTGCCAGCCACCCTCACTTGACCTCTTCCCCATCCCTGGGCCCCCTCCAAGGCCATGTTATTTAGGGAAGAGGGGAGAAACCACCCCCCCCCTCCTCCTCAGATGATAAATTCAATCTACTTACCATGAACCTGCTTTTTTATTTCTTTGGCAGGATCCAGCCACGTCTGTAAGAGGATAAAAACATTCACAGTTTAACAGACATTCCAGAAACGCCACAGAAAGCTGCAAATTGCTAAAAATACGGCGAAAAAAGACAATATTTGACACTCAGGCAGCCATGGAAACTGGAGAGACAGTGCATTTTTCACTACTTTTACTCCAGGCTGTGGTCTCGGGGGTGTATTTCCAATCATTCATCTACCAGGTACTCGTAAGGGAGGCAGCAGGAAGGGGGAAAAAAGGCAGAATATCAGGGCTGCAGGTACAGCCTGAGAGGGGTATTTCTACAACACCTTTTTTTTCCCTCCAGAAGCTTTAAATATAGGCAAATAGGATGTTTACATTCATTTTAAGCACCCTGTCTCCTCACTTAGCCTACTCAGATCAAAGATCACCAAGACTTTCTATTATTAGCTCTGGTTTTAAACGACCTAATCACTGAAATATGAGTGAAAACACCCAATTACCACAGAAGGCTGGAATTTCACAGGAGTGTGACATAAACTTCATTTCTTTTAACTATGACTCAAGTTTCTACTAATTATCTCTGCTACAAATTTAGAAATATATCCTTTTTTTCCTCTCCCCTCTGTAATTTGGGGTTCTGTGGGATGATGGTGCAACATAAGCCACAAAAAACAACTCCTGCTTTTTTTTCCATGGTCTGAGCCTTTCCCTTTGGAGACCTCAGAGTCTGCCCCACTGCAGGGGATGGCACAGGGTTAATGACCCTCCTGGAGAGGCTACATTTAACCACCTTCTTCATTTTCACCAGCCCTGAGAAGGATTTAGACAGTCCAGGTCTCCCGAGGTGAAGGAATTAACTCATTGAATCCCCCAGGCTAATCTCTCCCGACCAGAAGGACACGTAACTTCATGGCAGGGAGACAGCCATCCTTACATTTAATCTCCTCTTTTTATGTGCCTGTCCCTCTAACCTATAAAAGTAGGGGTAAAAAAACCACATTTTGGAAAGGTAGATGGGCCACTTGATGCCTTTTTAGGGTCACAGCTTTAAGCTGAGCATCTCCATGGCCGGGCTGGTGCCACCACTGCTCGTTACTGGGCTGGGCAGCCCAGGGTGCAGTCATGCATCCCACCCCGCCTGATCCAGCAGACAATGATGGGAACAGCAATTAACAGCACTTTTATCCCACTGGGTCATGAATCAGTGGCAAACAATCCTCCCTTTCAGAGCAGTGAGCTCCTTGCTGCTCCGGCCGCTGTCACAACCTCCTAATCTTGTGTGGGTAAACATCGCTCCTCAGAAGGTTTATTCCCGAAATATCAAGGTGGAAAATGCCACATGCAACCCTTCCCTGGCCAGGAATACACACATGTAGCTCTGCCTGCCCCACAGGGCTGCAGGTGAGGTGCAGGAGCTCATCCTTGGATTCCTATTGACATCATTTCCACCTGCGAATCAGTAACCCCGTGTGGGGTCTTGTTTGAGGTTACAGCAGGAGAGAGGTGGAGCTTCGAAGTTCAGTGAAACATAACCAGAAAGACTCCCAAAAAACCCTCCAAAAATGGTGTTTTCCCCCATCAGAGCAAACCAGACCAGTGTGGTTACTCCACACTGGAGCTGAGCAACCCACGGACAGAGGCTTCACCTTCCTCAGCCCTGGCTCCGGGACACAGACGTGACAAAACAATCTGTTTTCAGTCCCTACAGTTAAAAAGCTGCACAACCTCTCATCCCTTGTTAGCTGGGGGAAGACTCTTTTTGCTCTTAATTGGATCTAAAAGTACACCTAACCCTTCCCTCTGCAAGAACAAACTCCCAGGGTAAAAAAACACACAAGAAGATAGCAAGACACCAGAGACAGTAAAACAAACCCAAGTGGGAGCTCTGCCTGCCTCAAATACTTGACAGGGTGTTATTTTACCTGTGCATTAAAACATTATAAAGTATTTAATGGCAAATGTCTGTCAGCCCCATAACCTGCCATGGGTGAATGGTGCAGGTGGAGCAGTGGAATATTCAGAATATGCACCAACATAACTGGTCTAAAGGACACAGAATTGGGCCCTTCATTTCGATTTAGCTTTTGGCTTTGTGAAACAAGCATTGAGTAACTGTTGAGTTAAAGGGTAACCAAGGGGTTTAAAAGATAAGACACTGCCTGAGTCAAACCAAACAAAGACCTTAAACTGAAACCACGAGTTGGAGTTTGGTGTGGAGTCACTGGTGTTCTGCAGGGCAAAGCCTCAACTCCAAACTGCTCTGGGTGGCTCCAACCAAACCTTCCCAATGCTGACACCACTGCCAGGGCAGCCTGGCTCCTTCAGCTGGAGTTCTATAACTTAAAGGCAGCAAACAACTTACCTTGCAGCAAGCTAACATAACAAATTTCCTCCAGGTGAAGACTCAAGTTCACAAGGATTCTATCACTCTGTGATTCGTGCAGCCTTTTTACTAAAATCCACGCTCCTGTAGTCACTTATTCACCACTTCTGCCTCTGTGATGACCCCCCAACTCATTTTTTGGGAGGACATTAAAAGCAGTTTTAAGGGAGAGCTTGTGTGGGACGTGATCCTTTGGAAGAGCTGAATCCCCCAGGGCCAGACCACCCCAGAACAGCAGCAGCTTACCCTGGAGGTTGGTGTGTCCCATATGGCCAAACCAAAGTAGTCTTCTTCCAGCAGATTGAGGTGGTCACAGACTTTTTTAAGGAGCTCCTGTCCCTTGGCATGTTTCTGCAAATAGACAAAGAAATCCTGTTGGACAGGCTGGGTTCTGCCTGTTCTCACTCACAGGAAAGGGGAGGAAGGGAATGGCAGCAAACCACACTGTACACTATCAATAAGGGGATAAAAGCTCCAAACCACCTTTCCTGGCTGTTTCAGAGCAAAGACTCCTGATAGGAAAGAGCTCCAGGCATCAGAATTCAACAGAGAGGCAACAGGAACACAGTGGGTCTCTCTCTTCTGACCAGCTCCGTGTCTGAAGCTCCCCCAAAGCTGAACTTCCCAACAGAGCTCAATAAACACCAAGGATCTGTACAGGTTTTCCCTGCCAAGGTACAGCCAGAGCCCCAGTATCTCCTGGGTCCAGGCTGTCAGAGCTGGTGTGGATCAAAAGATGAACCTGCTGCTACAACCCACTGCTACAGTTGTTCATTTTGGGGACAACCTGACTTTTTTTAGGTTCAGAAAATAAACAGCAGCTTCGGAACAACAGCCCATAATTTTTTGTGGCCTTTCCATCGCCTCAGTCTGCTGATGAAAACCACCTTCTCCTGTTTGCCTCCTGCACCCAGAGCTGCTCAGCACTTCTTGCCTCCAGAAATGCACTTTGAACCCTCCTATTTCCTCTTTTCCCCCCACCCCCAATTCCTGCAGAAGTGAACTGGCCCTAGGAACAGATATCCTTTTAGTCCAAAAGCATGAAGGAAAACATCCCTGAGGCATAAAACTATGGCAACCAGAAGCAGCTCATTCCATTGGAGGCTTTGTTAGAAGAAAGTGCCGTTCCAGTGACGCAAAATCAGCTTCACTTAATGCCTTGCTGGTGCCCACAGCTCTCCTGTCACTCATCTCTGCATGGCAACTGCTCCAAGACCCCTGCCTGGTTTTATTCCTTGGCTTTATTCCAGCCTTTCAGCTGTCAGGTCCTTTGTGCACACGTTGTGACTCTATAGGTAACATAATGTATGTGTTAGCCTGGGTATCCCTCAAGGAATTGGCACTGATCTAGGCATGAAAAACCTTCCAGGGGCTGTCAGTTGGAAAGGGATGCCTGAAAGCACTAATTCTCCTTGGATAAAGGCATTTGTGCTGCTCTTTGCCCACACCTTTGCAATTCCTTCCCAATTAAAGCTTAATAAACTCCCAAAACGCCAGAGTAGGATTATAGGGGTGTTAAAGCCCAGGGTGCCTGCCAAGATAAGAGGGTCTCACTGACACAGTGGTCCCTCCTAATCCTCTCTGCAGTGCCCACCACGATCCTCTGGACCTACAGAGAGATTTCTCATGTCCTGCTCAAGTCAGGACCACCAACAGCATCCGTGCCAGTATCCAAAGGCATCACAAACTCACACACAAAGCCATGGCAAGCTATCACCAGGATTTTGGGGGCACAGTTCCCCTTTTGGGGGGCCTGCACACAACATCCCTGGCCCAGGGGAAGGAGTTTGGGGCAGGATGCTCCGAGCTGATCCCAGGCAACGCCAGCAGCGCCATCGTTACACAAACACCCGGCACTGACCTACTTGCCCAGGATCACCCAAGGTGACTGTTCCCACAAGGAACCCTGTGCCCAGATACCCTCTCCTGGCCCATTTACCAGCAAGACTGAGGGAAAACAAGCTGGTGGAACTATGCTCCAGTGGTAAGTACCAGATTATTAATATTCCAGACAAGTACTTCGATACTGAAATAGGGATTTCTGCTCGCTTTTTATTGCCCTGACAGCATCACAGCCCTGTGAGAGAATGCACAGAATAAAGCAGAAGAAAAGCTCTCAGATGAAGGGGTTTGCAGTGCTCTAAGTCAACATAATAATTTTAAATTGTTTACTGCAAATATATTCAACTGCAGGCTAAACACAGCGTGTTTTTCTTTCCATCCAAGCACCAGCAGCCTGAGAGGTGAAGGGACCTTGGGGAACTAGAACAGCACAAATCAATCTGGCAGCCCATTTTATTCAAAGGAAAGGGGGCAAAAGGTATTTAGACCATCCCAACTTACCCCAAAAAACTAAACTCTGGTCTGGGATACAATGAGAAAGATGATGAACAGCAAGTGAGATAAAGTTTGGGTTTGTTCTTTTTTTTAAATCCTTCCTACCTGTAGGCAAGACACCCTGGAATTGTAGAACAATAAAAAATAAAGATTCCTAGCACCCAGAGGCTTTTACAACACACTAAATAAGTTGTTATAGCTTACAGCAGGCTTGTTCTGCAGTAAAGCCTGTCATGTAATTCCCTGACAGCACATTAGGCCCCTATTAAATCGTGTTTGTGGTGATTTTTCGAGAGGAGCAGAAGGGAGAGGGGGGAGAGAGGAGAAGCACAACCAAACCCCACAGGTACTTACATCCACAGCACACTCAAAAATGGTGTCATCCAGCAAGACCACTTTGCAGTACATGTTTCTGTGTCTTTTCACTGCTTTCTGGGCAGCTTTCAAATCCTTGTCTGCCTTGGTCTCCGGAGTCTCCGGTTTAGGCTCCGGCTTGGCACACTCTTCCTTGGCTTCTCCTTCTTCCTTGTCCTCAGGGTCTTTGCCCTCTGGCTCCTGCTCGTCCCTCCTCTCCTCCTGTGCAGGCTGAAATTCCCCCCCAACAGCCCCATTTAGAGGAGTCAAACAAACAAACAAAGCATCACCTGAAACAAGCACTGCAGGGCTGGGGCCTCACCCAAAATTCCTTATCTGACTTCAACCTGTAACCCGGGACCTGGAGCAGCAGCTGGGGTGAGCAAGGGAATGATATTAATTTTTAAAGCCTTGCCAAGTCATTTTCAAGTCTTCATTTAATAAAGGATGTAATAAAAAAGAAATAAGGGTTGATTAGAAAAATCAAGGCAGATTATATCCTGCAAATCTTCGCGGTGTTAATGACAGCACCTTTTGGACTGGGAAGGTTTTGGCCTCCCAAGAAAGACAACCAGTGCTCCCAGTACCAACCTGGGCTCTGCTCCAGTGCACTCACCCTCTACATGGCAAGGGGGGATGGTTTTACACTCAAAGAGGAGAGGTTTAGATGGGAGATTGGGGAGAAATCCTTCCCTGTGAGGGTGGGAAGGCCCTGGCACAGGTTGCCCAGAGAAGCTGTGGCTGCCCCAGCCCTGCAATTCTTCAAGGCCAGGTCAGACAAGGCTTGGAGCAACCTGGTCTGGTGGAAGGTGTCCCTGCCCATTCCAACCCAAACCATTCCATGACTCTGTGGCAGCAGTGGCACTAAAAGGGGTGGTCAGGGCTAGGCTTTCATGGCCACGTGAGCTGACCAAGCAGCTCCCTGCCACCAAAAAGGGAAGGCAGCCCTCACACCACTGTCCCTTTGCCTACAGAAGCACTTTGTGAGCCAGTTTAATTCACTGAAATAGCAGAAAGAGATGCAGTTTGGGGGCAGGAAGAGGAAGGAAGCTGTTTTTTTCTTATTCCCCTCTGCCATTTCAGCAGGTTAACTGAGTTCACAGGAGGCTCTGACGAGCACTGGAAGGGCTGGATGCAGCAGGAGCACAGCTGGAGCAGGGGAAGAGCAAAACCTTGTCTGTTCAAGCCATCACATCTCATGAAATCACACCCAGGCACAAGTGCACGGAGGTATTTCAAAACTAAATAATGTCCACAAGCTGCTGACTTCTGTTCCAGCAGAACTGGGACAATCGGGAGCAGGGAATCAGTCAAAGCTCCTAATGCCCGTCGGTCAGCATTTATCAAACTGCAGCACCTCACAACTGCTGTCACAGCAGAAATATCTGCAGAGTGTCACAGTTCAGAAAGCCACTGACTGGGATCTAAAATAAGAACTGGAAAAAAAAAAAAAAGGTGCAAACGCTCCGTCTGGAACGAACGGCCCGTGAAGGAAGGTTGGGGTGAACCCTCACATGTGCTCAGAAGCAGTAAATCAAAGTTAAACAGAGGAAGAAATCATGGATTTAGAATCCAAGAATGGGTTGGGTTGGGAGGAATCTTAAGGATCATCCAGTTCCACCCCCTGCCATCGGCAGGGACACCTTTCCCTAGATCAGGTGGCTCCAAGCTCTGTCCAACCTGACTTTAAACATTTCCAGTGATGATTTCCTTCTTGAAAACACAACTTTTGGGTTGAAACTGCATGAAAATTTCCAGCTCCTCCTCACCCTCAGAGGTACAGAGCACGAGCAGAGACCATCCCATGGTTTTCACCAGGCTCAGAAATTTGGGAAAAGAAATTAAAATGTGTTACCTGCTACCTTCTCTACAGCTTTGTGATTTAAAGGAGGTGGATTTACAGTTATTGTTTACTGGTAATGCTTGAGCTTGTATTGCTCCAAAATTCAGGGCTTTTGGGTACCTGGCAGTGCTCTGGAGCCACTCAGAGCTGAAGGCAGTGGGTAAGAAACCCAGATTTCACCCTGCACGTTCTGTGACTCCAGCAACACACCCAGGTTGCCTGGGCTGCAAGAAATCCCCAGCTGAGGAAAAGGAATAAGAGAGGGCACCCAACACCCCCAAATCAACAACCACCTGCAGCTCTGTGAATGTTCCCTGTGGGTGTGTCTGCCTCAATTCCTACTTTAAATTTTGAAACTTTATATAATCTTGCGTGAAAAATGACCCTGGCTGGGAAGAGCAGACACCAGACAGCTACCAGGAGCTGGGCTCAGCCCACCAGCCTGCAGAAATCCCTGTCTACATGATGCATAAGCAGAAAATATTTGTATTTGGCAGGCTCAGCACCAGCCCAGACTGAGCAGATGACCAAGTCCTGAAACACTGCGTTGAAGAAACCCTTCCCTAAATCCATGTCCTCCACCTCAGGCCACTGACCTGCCCTTATCCTGCCTCACACCAAGGAGATCCCAACTGGTTTCGGACCCTCTGAGTGTGAACCCTCGTTCTGAGGTGACATCCCAACCTCAGCAGAGCAAGGGCTCGTCACAGGGCATTTCAAGTTATGCTGTGAGGTGCTGAGCACAATTCCCAGAGCAGGTATTGGCAGGACAGAGCAGTGCAGGGAGCAGAGTGGGAAGTCCGAGATGGGACACCGGGAGCTGACACCCCACGAGCTTTTCTGGTCAAGCTCGCCAGCCTGGGATATGAAGTTTCTACAGTTTTGGCTGCAAAGACACATTTTTAGGACAGCAGGGAGCCCATCCCACAGGATGGGGTGTTTTACCTGTGTCTCTGCACTGCTCAGGGAATGGAGGTCCAGCGAAGGGTCGGTTTTGAGCTCGGGCTCAGGAGCTGCGATGGGCGCTTTCACCAGGATGTCTTCATCAGGGCTGGCTCCTAATCCTGCGCCTTTCTGGTCACCTCCTGCCTCTTTAGGAGCATCAGTGTCTTTCTCCTCTTCGGACACCTGAGACTTGGGCCTCCTGAGGAAGGAGGAGAAGAGGCGGGACAGGCCCCGGCCCTCGGAGGTGCGACGTTCCTTCTTGCTCTGCTCCTCGTGCGTGGGGGTGTCTCCGTTGGAGGCTTTCTGCTTCTGCCCCTGCCCCTCTGGCGTGGGCTGAGCCCCTTCCTCCAGGGAAGCCTCCTGCTTCTGTGTTTCAGCAGCTCCTTCCTCCTCCTTGGCTTGCTGCTGGTCCGAGCTGTCGGCGTCCGCCGCTGGGCTCTTCTCTGTGGTCATGGTGGTGCTGCAAGAGAGGAGCAGGAGGGCTCAGTCAAGAGGTGGTCTCTCAATATTCAGGTCTGGTTGAGCTGCTCAAGGCAAGCCACGAGCACAGACACACCACGTTCACCAGTCACACCACCCTGCCACAGAATCACAGAACGTTCCGAGCTGGAAGGGACCCACAAGGATCGAGTCCAGCTCTTCAGTGAATGGCCTGTACGAGAACTGAACCCCTGCCAACTCCAGCCCACAGAGTCAGTAGGAGCAAAATCACTCCTTTTGTTATGCTTTGATAGAAACATCTCTACTGATGTTTGCCACCCCCCACCCTTTGGACAACGCTGAGAGATTGGGGGCTGTTCAGCCTGGAGAAGGGAAGGCTCTGGGGAGATCTTGGAGTCCCTTCCAGTGCCTAAAGAGGCTCCAAGAGAGCTGGAGAGGGACCTGGGACAAGAGATGGAGGAACAGGACACAGGGGAAACGGCTTCCCACTGACACAAGGCAAGGTTGGATGGGATATAACTCCTCCTTGGGAGGGTGGGCAGGCCCTGGCACAGGTTGCCCAGAGAAGCTGTGGCTGCCCCTGGGTCCCTGGAAGTGTCCAAGGCCAGGCTGGATGGGGCTTGGAGCAACCTGGGCTAGTGGAAGGTGTCCCTGCCCATGGCAGAGTTTGGGACTGGATGAACTTTAAGGTCCTTCCCAACCCAAACCAGTCTGTGATTCTGTGATCTGAACACACCAAACCACACTGATGGGGACAGGACCCATTGGTGTGGACCTGCACAAGACCAGTCCGGTAGAGCCGAGCAGGTTTTGGGATTCATGGAATCTTTGGATTGCACACAGCAAAAAACGTAAAACTGAAAGGTTTCCAAACAACACCCATAATGCAGAGCAGATTTCCTCAGAGCCTGTGCTATTAAACTGATGCAATGTTTACTTCAACTTTAGCCTGGGCTGTTGACACAAAAAGATGGAAATCACATGAGAAGAATATCTATTTAAGGTATAAAGAGGACCCAAAATAATCATGCTTTAGAGGGGATAGAACTAATCTTTGTGCGTTGCATCACATGTATCTGCAGCAATAAATTGCCACTGCTTACACTGAGCAAATAGCATATAATCCAATATGCCTCAATCCCCAGCCCCAGCCTCGGCGTACAAACATTTGCTCAAAACACAGACCTAAAATTAGGAAACGTTTCAAGATGTCACCCTCCTACGTATTATTGCATTCATCGATTTTAATTCAACTCACGCTGGCTGCCAAAAGAACCAGAGTGCTGGAAGGAGAAAAGCCCCCCCCCCACCAGCTCTCCTCTTCCTTTGCATTTAATGCAAACACCTGATATTATTCCTAATGCTTTGGTTAAACCAAGGCAGCATCAGAGACCTTCCCTGGATTTGTTCCTCCAGCAACGCAAATTTCCTGAGGTTACAAGGTTTGGTTTGAGGGTTTGGTGGGTTTATTTCTTTTCAGGGAGGGCTTTTGGAAAAGCAGGGATGGAACCCACTGGGTCTGTGCTTCCACTGGAGCAGCGTCAGATTTAGGACAGGCTCTCTGGATCCTTTGAAATTGTGTCAGGACACGGTCAGGTTGGATCTCAGGGAAAGGTTCTTCCCTCAGAGGGTGGTTGGGCACTGAACAGGCTCCCCAGGGCAGTGGGCACAGCCCCAAGGCTGCCAGAGCTCCAGGAGGGTTTGGACAATGCTCTGAGGGACAAGGTGGGATTGTTAGGGTGTCCTGTGCAGGGCCAGGGGTTGGACTGGATGATCCTTGTGGGTCCCTTCCAATTCAGGATATTCTATTATGCTACGAAACCTCTTCACTTCTCCCAAAATCCACTGCCAGGGATGCTGCTGCCCCGTTAGCAACACTCTGCAGGGTCCCCCCAGCCACCAAGCAGCCAATTCCTGCTCTCAACAGCTCTCCAAGAACTCCTGGAGATGCCACAAGGCAGTGGAAGGGGCAAGGACTATCATCAGTGAGCCCACAACACAGGACAGGCTCGCCCCGGCCAACTCCCAGGGCAAAGCTCCCAACGTCCTGGCACGCACGGATGGGGAGGGATGCTCTGCAAGCCTGTCCCACCAGGATCACACGCCGACAGCGAGCTCCCCCTGGCACCAGCTGCCAGAGCAGCCTGCTTTGTAGTTGCTTCCCACTGTGTTTGTTTTGAATAAACACGTTTGTAGGAACCGTTATCAAAACACACAACGTCGGACGCGCGCGTCGCTCCTCGGACTAGAAAGGCAGAATCGGGGCTTTGGAGATGAGGACGGTGGGGAGGGCACAGTTCTTATCAGCCACAGGAAAGCAGAGGGACAATCCACAAAGGAACATTTCCTCTGGATGTACTCTTCCCTCCCTAAATTCTGGGAGAAGGATTGTTTACTTGTTTACATTTCAAAGCCACAGCCCCGGACCTTTCCCGATGTAGGGATGTAAGGAGCTGGGTCTCGCTGGCGATGAGAAAACAGCTCCTTGTCTTAAACATCTCTTTGTCTTTCCTCCATCCCCTGGGAATTCCAGGCTGCAGCTCAGCCAGATCCCCTCGGCAGGGCTGGGGATGCGGAGATGGGCACGTAGGAGCCCGGCCCTTCCCAATAAACATTTCATAGCTGCCAGCACCAATAACTCACAGGGTGCAGCAAACATCCTGCTGCAAGACCTGAGCGAGCTGCTCCAACCCAGGCTCAGGGCTGGATCCCTCCCCTGGAAGTTTTATGCTCAGAAATGGTTTTCCCATCAAAAGCAAAGAGATTCGTAAGCAAATAACGTAACTGAGAGGCTGCCCAGGGCAAAGGGGGAAAGGAGATGGTCTTTAAGGTGCCTACCAAGCCAAACCAGGCAGTGATTCTGTGATTATCCAAGATAAAGAGCACCTTGGCTGCACTTGCCAAGCAGTGTTTTGTTTCCATCCCAGCCCACAGCAGAGCTGACACCAAGAGCAAGGTTCCCACTCCGCTGCTCTTCAACCCCTCCTTTGGAGAAGGCACAACCCACGGCAAAACCACAAGCAGGTTTCTATTCAAATTCAATTTTTCTTCCCTCACTATCCCACAAGGCAACTCTCAGACATGATCCCGGAGAGAGACTTCAGGGTGAAAAATCCCACCAGGAAATACGTATTTATATTTAAGCATCTTTAAGTTTAAGAACATCCTCCAGGCAAGAAGGCTTTGGCAACAGGAAAAGACCTGAAGAAAAGGGAGTTAAATACTCCCAGAGAAGCAAAAAGGCTTTGCCCCGCTGGGGACACTTGCAACCACAGGTTGACCTCCCACCAACCATATCCCCTTCACCTGCCCCTGAGCAGCCCCCAGAGGAGGATCTGGACCTCCTGGGAATGTTGGAAGAGGTTTTGGCAACACATCTCCTCTCAAAAGGCATCAGCTCAAAGAAACAGGAATGTTGAGGTATGTGTCTGTCACCCTCTCCTACCTGTCAGCTGCTCCAGCGTCTCTTATTTAGGCACACAAACAAGTGTAGTGACAATACCTGAAGAAGGGCAAAGTTAAGTAGAAATTAGGAAGAAATTCTTCCCTGGGAGGGTGGGGAGGCCCTGGCACAGGTTGCCCAGAGAAGCTGTGGCTGCCCCATCCCTGGAAGTGTCCAAGGCCAGGCTGGAGCAACCTGGGCTAGTGGAAGGTGTCCCTGCCCATGGCAGGGGGTGGAAGGAGAAGGTCTTTAAGGTCCCTTCCAACCCAAACTAGTCTGTGATTTTGTGATAGAAAATCTAACTTATCCCTGCTTCCAAGCCTAGAAAAACAAGTTATAGCTCATGCCATAGCTTACTTAATTCCCAGTGGTTTAGTCTTTCAGAGAGAGAAGAAAAAGGACTGTCCATGGAGAAGGTTCAGTTCTTGGAAACCCAAACTGTCTCGCAGCGATGCCCAACGCCAGATAAGGGTGATCACACTGCTGGGACAAATTGTCTTGACCTTCCTACCCAAAAATGTGTGGCTTCTCAGAACACTGCTGCTCCAGCAAGAGCTGGAGACAATGATAAGAGAAAAATTTCTGCTAAAAATAGGCAAAAATCAAATAGTTTCAGCAACAGCGTGGTGGTGCTTTTTTTTAAAAAAATGCGTTCCTTCCCATTTCATAATGTGTGTGAAAAGCACACAATTCACCAGAGAAACTACACAGAACACTGCTCAAAATAGACAGCACAGCCTGAAAATTCAGTTTAGTCAAGACCTGGTGCATGTGCAACAAACCTGAGGGTGGGAGAGGAGGAAAACTGCAGCCACCCCCAGCAGGACTCGCCCCACGCGTGTGTGAATTACGTGTCCTACACGTGATTTTTACTACAGTTAAAAACACATTTCAAGGCCAGGTTGGACAGGGCTTGGAGCAATCTGGACTAGGGGAAGATGTCCCTGCCCATGGCGGGGAGAAGGAGAAGGTCTTTAAGGCCCTTTCCGATCCAAAGCATTCTGGGATTCTATGACCACAGCAGAAAGCTGTTTGTCACAGGAGTTTAAATAGAACAAGAAATTCAAATGCAACAAAATAAGCCCCTCACTAAGAAATTCAAACAACCTCAAAATACACTAAAGCACCAGAACTGTTAGGAATTTATTTAATATATTTTATTAGAGGAATAATTACCACTGACATCTATAACCCCTGTTAGAATTCACGTGCACCATCTTTCTGTGCTGGTACTTTGGGTCCTGAACAAAAGAGATGCTGTCACTCAGCCTGACCTGGAGGGTAACAGGAGACTCCAGGAGCCTCATTGAACAGGGGGAAAAATAAACCACCCAACACAACACAGATGGCACATTACAACTGCCCGGATTTAATTCTCACCAGAGCAGCCCTGGTAATCTACTGCACGTCGGCAGCCCCGTGCCCCTCTCCCATCTCCTGCTCTTGTACAGCTTTCCTATTTAAATGAGGGCAAAAATAGTAGCTCACCATCTGCTGAAAGCAAATCATTTATGTCAAATTGAAGACTGGGCTTATAAAATGACCTGACTAAATGGAGCAGTAAGTGCATTACAACC